AACACAGTAATGCCTGAGTAAGACATGTTTTCACAGGTACCAAGGAGAAAGCAGCAGACAATATAAAAGTAACCTGGATCACTACAACAGCTTTCTTTTGCTTTCTTAAGTAAGATTGTACAGAAACCCAGAAATTAAGCACTTAAAGAACAACTCTTCCAATCTTCTCATTTTAGAGTTGAGGAACAAGGCCCATGATGGAAAACATTCACCTGAGATTCCCCAGCCAGTCAGAGACCAAGGTGGGTCCTGAACCTGGGTATCCTGATTCTGAGTCTGGTATTCTCTATGATAAACCATATTGTTACTTACAGCTTTTGGTTTAGTGGTGACACAATCCTGGGCTAAAATACTGTCTTCGGGTTCACCTAGACACAGATTTCTCCATCCTTCTTTTGCTCTAGCTAAACCTTCTAACACTGTGGTTGCAGTGTGGGACAAAGAAATACTTCACACTTAAACCCTTAACTTCAGCACCAAGAATAATCGATAAATATGGAACCAGCAGATCACAGAACAGGAGTGGGGGAGGGGCAGAGAGAGGGAGATACAGAATCCAAAGCAGGCTCCGGACTCTGAGCTGTCAGCACAGAGTCCAATGTGGGGCTTGAACCCACAAATTATGAGGTCATGACCTGAGCCAAAGTTAGAGGCCCAATCCAGCCAAACCAAGTAAAGCTTTTGTTGGTAATATGCTGGTTCCATATTTATCAATGATAAAGCTTTATTTGGTTTGGCTGGATTGGGCAAGTCCTCAAAGCAGGAACATAGCACTCCCTCCTCTAGATAGATGAATACTTCTATTGCTGTCCTGAGCTTGTGCCCTGTAAGAAGAGGCCAAGATGTTTTGGAGTTGAGAACAGAAGATCCTTCTAAAACTAAATGACTCTCAATGAGCCAGCGCCTGAGAACTCAGAGAAAGTAATTTTGTCTCTTAGAGACTCAAGTCTTTTGATCTAGAAAATAGGAATAACAGTAACAACCTCTGCCCTGTCTGAAAATCAAGTGGCATAAGATGTGAATGTATTTTGCCAAAGTAATACACGCACGTGAGCACTTGTATTTAATTCCTACTTTCAACAATATTTATTGAGCATGTACCATGTGCCAGACACCGTGCTAGGTATTGGCAATATATAGTAAATCAACAGGTAAAAACACTTGCCCCTCATGGAATCTACATTCTAGCAGGGGAGAAGAACAATAAAGAAATCATATAAGCAAATATATAATATATCAGATAGCAATAAGTACAATAGAGGAAAATAAAGCAGGAAAGAGGGAGAGATAGTGCAAGGTTATAATTTTAAATAGAAAGGTCAGGGATGATCTCAAGGAGAAGGTGATATTTGAGTAAAGACTTGAAGGAGGTGAGGAAGGAAGCTATGAAGATATCTGGGGAAGGAGTGCTCCAGGCAGAGGGAAAAGCCAGTGCAAAATCTGGCAAGGGGGGCATGCAAGATAGTTTTTTAGGAACAGCAAGAGGCCAGTGTGCCTGGAGCAGTGACAGAAGGTGGGAAAGATAAAGGAGATCAAGTCACAGAGGTAACAATAGGTTTATCACATAGGACTTTGTAAATAATAAGAAATTGGCTTTTACTCAGGGAGAAGTGGTCAGCCATCAGATGGTTTTGAGAGGAAGAGAGTTATGACCCAACTTAGATCTTGATAGCATCACTCAGCTACCAGGTAAAGAACACATTGTACTTATATTATAGACTCTTTGACAGTATAAGACAGCTATCATTTTATAGCAGTGCTCCTCAAACTTTAATATATAATGTAAGTCAAATGGGAGTCTTGTTAAAGTGCAGAATCATACTTGGTAGGCCTCGAGTGGAGCTAAAAATACCACATTTCTAACAAGCTCCCAGGTAATACAGATACTAGTCTAGGGAAGAAAACTTTGAAAGTAGGAGCCATGTCTAAGGCTGGCATGGAGCAGAACTCTACAATGCGTTTGCTGAATGAATGACAGTGGTTTCATGCCCAATGACACAGAGCACATTTCAGAGGGTATTTTTTCAGCTATTTTTATGGAGGTAGGGGGAGAGAAAACTACAAAAGAGAGACACGTATGGATGGGAGAATAGATGAAAAGGGAAGGAAAAGAAAGTAAAACAACCTTTTTACAAATAGTTACATTATGTTTACTTAGTTTTATCAATAAATTTAAGAGGTTGGCATAATGAAGCCCACTGGACAAATCAGAAAAATCAAAAGTCAGAGAAGTTAAGGGGCAACTTCATGGTTATAGGGTGTCTAAGTGGTTAAATCAGGATGTGAAAGCCAGCATTCCATGTCCCCAGAGCCCTTGTTTGTTCCACTATACTGACTCATGGAGTGGGAGAGTGGGGATAAACTTTAACATTCCTAGAAGGGATAAAAAAATAAGTTGAGGTAAAGGAAATTAAGGCCCATATTCCTTGGCTTTGATCTTTCTAGATCTGCAGTGTCCAATGTAGGTGTCATTTAGTCACATGTGTCTATTTAAATTAAAATTTAATAAAATTTAAAATCCCATTTCTCAATCATACTAGCCACATCTCAACTACTCAATAGCCACAGATGGCTGGATAGTGGCTACTGCATTGGAGAATGCAGATATATTTCATCACTATAGGAAGTTCTACTGGGCAACAGTATTCTAAAGAAATAAGAACATTAAAAAATGTTAAAGCTGTACTATTGAGGGGTACCTGGGTGGCTCAGTTGGTTAAGCAGCCAACTTTGGCTCAGGTCATGATCTCACCGTTTATGTGTTCGAACCCTGCATCAGGCTTTGTGCTGACAGCTCAGAACCTGAAGTCTGCTTCGGATTCTGTATCTCCTATTTCTCTGCCCCTCCCCCACTCCTTCTCTCTCTCTCTCTCTCTCTCTCTCTCTCTCTCTCTCTCTCTCTCTC